ACTTTTTCACACCACTGTATAATAACACCCCGTATTTCACAAGAGAAACAAAACCTCTGAGGAAAATAAACATATTTTTGTGTTATTTTTCTTTTATCCCTTTAATCATTTTATGGTCCTTCAGATTTTTCTTGGAAGTGTACACTGTACATGTAAAAAGCTGTCAGTGGACTATTGTTGATGTTGACAATGAGCTTAAATATTCATATCCAGTAGATTACTTGCTTAATAGATATGGAATAGTTCAGCCAACCTCTGCCGTCCAGGTATGATGCATTCCTGGCACAGACTGACATTGAATGGTTTGTGTTTTCCAGAGGAAGGCTACAAGGAGCCCGTAATGTTGGATTACACAGAAATCACCATAGTCACAGTCTTCACTGGTGTGCTGCTGGTTTTCAATGTGGTCGGCTCAGTGTATGTCTTCAGAGGAAATTGGGTAAGATGTGTCCTGATCTGAAACAGCCTGTTTCACTGTGAGAATATTGCTTTGTTACAGACAGCAATGTTCAGAGGGATGTACAACTGACAAGGCAGTATTGTAGATTGTCCCATATTTTCTAATCAAACACAACCATCGAGACAAAATGAGTTGTTTAAATCATCTTCCAAGCCAAATTAAATACTTCAAGCTTTTAAATTATTGTTTTATGTGATAGTAAATGTAATATTTTGGGGTATTGGACCACTGGCTGGACTAAACAAGCAATATAAACATGTCACCACTATTTCCTGGTAATTTATTAATCCAACAAGTAATACATTTAGAAAATAATTGTCAGAATAAATAAAAATAATTATTGCAGCCCAAAATCATGTCTGGGTCAAGCCTTAGATCACCTCAGAGCAGAACATTTTATCAAAGACATTTTCAGGAGGAATCCTGCACAGATTTCTGTAGATGTTTGAGTTTTTACTGTTTCCTGTGGCCAGCTGATTCTTTCCCAGGTTTCTTTAAAGGTGTATTTCAGCAGTACTAAAACTCTCATTGAGGAACCTGAATGTTTTTTTCAATTGTATTTCAGTTCCTCTCCTCTTGGATCTTGCTGCTGCCTTTGACACAGTTGACTTAAACTAGACTGGAAAACATGGCTGTACTCTTAGACAGAGTCCTATCTCCAAGACAGGAAATATTTAGTTTAACTCGATATGGCTGCACACACTCACCGTTACCTCATCTGTGATTGTGTCATAGCTCAAGTTTAAACATAGACCTATATTGTTCTCCAGCCAGAGTATTAGGTGCAAAGAATTAAACTCAAACATCTGATTAATAGAGACTATAGATGGGGAGCTGCATGTGTCTTAGTGTTATTTGTGATTTGTGTTTCTGTTAGAACAAAGACACAACTGAAAGTAGCACCGATACCGGCAGAAAACAAAAGCAGAACAGAGAAGAAAGGAAGGAGAGAGAGACGGAGGAAAACAACGTGGCTATAACAGATTCCTCTTTCTATGCTGTAAGCACCTTTCTACTTGTCACTATATAGGCAGAGATATTTCACTTGAATTAAATTGTATCACTTCATATTTGTCCTCCATCTTCCCAGCATTCATATGTTCATTTTTATATTCCTTGGAAACTGATATGAGATGTTCTCTCAGAGTCTAGAGGCTCGGCCCGGGTCCATTTACGATGTGCTGGACCACTCAGCTGCCAATACAGAGACAGACCAAAGAAAACCTAAACCCAAGAAAAAGGAACAACAAAAAACGGTCAGTGTGAATGTCAGGTGCTTTGTCACATTATCAGTGGAAATCAATAAAACATGCAGTTGGTGACCTGTCGTCTACTTCCTCCACAGATGACGCAAACCACAAAACCCCAGAATGAAGACATGTTTGAGTCTGTCTATGAGAATTTCTGAATCCTAAAACAACTTTTCTCAACAGATTATGATATTTATATCAGTAGCTGAGATGATTTCAGTTTGCTTTGCTGTGTCATTGTCACCTGTTACCAGTAAAATAATTATTCAGATTCAGATTCAGATTCAGATTTTCAGATTCATACTTTATTGTCCTCAGTGGAAGAAATTTGTTTTCACAGTCTGTACAAAGAGCACCTTCGACATGAATTCTACACACACACTACACATAGTACACA